TTATTTAACTTCTCTGTGCCTTGGCTTTCTCATTGGGAATCATCCTTTGTAGCAGCTTGGCATCCATCCCTCCCCTCCCTGTGTGCCCCTGCCACCCCCATGCCACTGAGAAGTATAGTCCATTCCTCCACCTCCTGCATCTGGGCTGGGCTGGGCTGCATGATACCCAGAGTGGTCAAGCCTCCGACGACTCTGGCCTCCCTGCTCTCTGTCTGCAGCTACACGAGAGGCTCACTCAGCTGATCCCACGAACCCTGCGAAATAATAATAAACGGTTCTTTTAAGCCACCAAGTTTAGTGGCACTGTGCAGCAAGAGATAAGCACACAAAACATCGATGGGGATGACAATAATAATGTCCACCTCGAAGGGCTGATGTGAGGATTAAATGAGTGAATGGTCATTAGATGCTCAGGACAGGCCTCGTGGTTCTAACTGCCATGTAAGAGCATTTTGAACAATGACGACAAAAATGGATGACCTAGTACTCTGAAGGCATTAGTCTCAAGCTAATAAATACTCATTTGGAGGAAAGCACAGTAGCTGTCACTGTCCCAGTCCCTGGTTTTCCAAAAAATACCTTAGTCAACATGGAGTCAGTTGGTGGTGGTGAAAACAGCGTCCTGAAAGCCAAAGGTACCGGTCCTGCCTCTGAGCCTGGGCCTGCCCCTTGCCTTCCTTAGGCCTCTGCCACCGCAAGACTGCCCTGAGGGAGAACCAGAAACACAGTCGTGAGCGGGCTTTGAAGAACACAGATTCTTTAGCCTTTCCTGAGACGCCTCATTTCTGACCCCTCCACCTGGGTCAGTCTTTCAGACATTGAGGTCTGGACTTCCTTAAACCCAGGCCCCACGGTTCTCGGCTACAACCAGCCTCTCGCCAATACCCCCAACTCCCTTGACTCCTCAGCCTTTGTCCTGCCCTCCCCCCAAATGGTGAATCCTGGTCTCTGAACCTTAGTTTCCACTTATGGCTACCTTTCTTTTTCATTTCCCTTTCATAGCTAAGCTTCTTGAAACAAGAGTCCTCACTCACTGTCTCCACCCCCACCCCTGCATCTGCCCCTCAGCTTCCACCTGCACCACCACATCGAAACTACTCTTGCCAAGATCATGGGTTGAGCCGCTAAAACAGGCTCATGCCAGCTCTCTTGACCAATTGGATATCTCTCTTCTCAGTTCCACATTCAGTGACATTATCTTGGTAGCTTATAATCTTCCATGATGGGAGTATTTACACCACAGAAATTGGCAAACATGCATCAGGCTTTCCCCTCCCCAAAGAGCTGGTTATTAACCTTTACCACACCACTACCAGTGACCTTCTAGTTGTTGAGTACAAAAGGGCACTTCTCAGATATTCTTTACTTGGCTTTATTGTCACTTGACACAACTGTCACTCTCTCCCGAGAGGTTCTCGGTTTCTGGCTTCCTCGCTGCCACTCACCCAATTTTCCTCCCAGTTCTCTGGCCCCTCTCTGCCTTAGCCTCTAATATAGGTGCTTATTTAATTCATCTTTCAAATATTGGTGTTTTCTAGAATTTTGTCTTATTTTCCACACAAGCTTCATAGGGGACATCTTCCATTCCCAGTTTCAACAATTCTGAAACCAAAAGGTTATCCTCGACCCTTCCCTAACTCTTGTTTCCCATATCAATACAACATCAAGTCCTGCTGATTTTATCTCCTAAATAGCTCTCAAATCCTCCCCCTTCTCTATTTTCACTGCCAACATGTAGTCCAAGCCACTCTCCTCTCCAGCCTGGACCACTGCAACAGCTCTACTTCTGGCTACTACCATCCTCCAAGTCATTCTCCACATTTGAGCCACAGTGACTTTTTCACAATACAAACCTGATTAAAATACCTTTTTTTGTGTCCTAATATGCTTTAAATAATTCAATGGCTTTTTATTACACTTAATAGGAGATTCACATATTTAGCATGACCTGAGAGGCCCTGAACGGTAGTATGGCTTCTGTCCTCCCATCTCATGTCAGATCCATCTCTCTTGCACTCTGGCCACCATTGGCTTCCAATGCACTGTGCTCCTTCTAGAAGCAGACTCCTGTCCGTGCGATTCCCTCTACCTGGACACCCTCTCCCCTTTCACTCTTAACTCATCTTTCAGGCCTCAGCTCAAGTTACTACCTCAAGGATGACTTCCCTTGAAATTTCAGACTAGGTTAGGTCTCCCCATCAGACATCCTCCTAGACCTCATGTGGCTCTTTCTCACAGCACTCATTGCAGTTGTAATTATTTAGCTTTTGTGATCCCCACTAGATCCTAAGCTCCAGGGATTTTTGCTTTGCCTACTCTTGTATTCCCAGTACCTAGCTCAAAAGTTTTGAATAAATGAAACATGACATTCAGCCCTGGCCTGTGTGGCTCAGTTGGCTGAGCACTATCCCATTCTCCAAAAGGTCCCCAGTTCTATTCCCTGTCAGGGCACATGCCTGGGTTGCAGGCTCGATCCCCTGTAGGTGGCATGCAGGAAGCAGCTGATCAATGTTTCTCACGTTGTTTTTCTCTCTCTCCCTCTCCTTTCCTCTCTAAATTCAATAAAAACGTATTTTAAGAAACAAAGCCAAAACCAAAACCATGACATTCAGATCCATTCCCTGAAGTCTCTTCTGAACTTCTGATCCACATATCTAGTTGTCTGCTGGTGACTCCATCCTTCCAACTGCTCAGGTTCAAACCTTGGGATCATCTTTGACTTCTGTTTTCCTTTTCACCTGGGACCTGAAGCACCTGCAAATCCTTTCAGCTCCATCTTCAGAGTACATCGTTTCTTGGCCAGACAGTAAGTGCCACCTAAAGGAAAAACATAACCCAACCTAGCAAGCTTCCTTGCTAATTCCCAGACTATGAGAAATTCTCCAGGACAAACCACCTTTTTTCAAAAATAAATTGCAAAGAGGGATAAAAAGAGATGGGGTGGGGGGAGAACCTATGGATTAAAAGACATAGCTATCTATACTAACCAATTGTAGTGGGGACCTCATTTGGATACTTATTCAAATTGTAAAAAAAAAATTATCAGGACAATCAGAAATGTTAACTCATAGATTTGATGTTAAGAAACTATTAATTTTTAAGGTGTGATAATGGTATGGTTATATTAAAAAATGCTTTTTTTTTTTTTTGGAGATGCATACTGAAATATGTACAGATGAAATGGTAGGATGCCTGGGATTTGCCTCAAAAATAAAAGAGAGAGAGGGAAAATGGGTGAGAATATAGATTTAAAAAATTAGCTATGGATTGTTGATTGTGGAAATTGGATAATAGGTACACTGGGGCTCACCATATGTTTGAAATTTTTCCTATTGAAAGATTAGAGAGAACAGCCATTTTCAAGCAGTGTGCCACAAGAATTTTTTAAAACATGCAGCACCTGACTATTTAGTCAGGGCACTGACCTCTTTCCCCTTAAACTGTCAAATAAAAAGAGGCAACAGCCAACACAATAGCCGTCTGATGCAAATGAATCAAAATCATGCCCATTTATTGTCAGGTTGGCCAAAAAGATATTTTTCGGTGTGCCGCAGAATTTTAGTAATTAGCTTGTGCGCCATGAGATGAGAAAGGTTGAAATCGATGACATGAATTACACAGAAGTCACAATTTCCAAAATTACTAAAAAGCCGTTGAATTCTCATTCTAACAAAATAGAATTATTTGATGTCTTAGACATCAGTAATGATAAGAACATAGTCACATTTCCGTTATAACCATTGGTTGCCTAAATTTGGAGTGTTTCATTTTAAAAACTGCACCCCGAGCCAACTCACCCGCTCCCTGACTATCCTAACTGAAGAATCAGGATTGAGGGGTGCAAACTGGGGGGGGGGGTCTGTTTTCTCCAGAAGAGAGACTAACAGATGGCCCAGGACTCGGGAAGGGGAAAGAAGAGTTCTCAGATGCGGAGGAACTTGAAGTGGACAAAAATCACTCCAGTTCTGCAGAGAGGGACCGGTGGGGAGCAGGGAGCAGGGAGCAGGGAGCAGGGAGCAGGGAGCAGGACCGAGCCACCAGCAGGCGAGCAGAGGAGCGGCGGGAACGCGGCCCAAAGTAATGACGGGCACCCAGGGGCGGGCTCGCTACTCCTTCAATCCAGCCACCTTCTCGGGGTCACGGGTTCTTTCCATATTAAAGCTGTTTTGCTAGACAAAGTTATTTTAGCAGACGGCAGTTATCAGGTCCTCGGGGAATTAGTTCTGAGTTGCCCTTCAGATACGAAACTGATGCCACGGGCCGGCCATTGGGCCGGGAAGTTTGAGTGACCGGTGACGAACTGCGGGGCTCGAGCCCCCGACGCTCCCTTTCATGTCCCCCACTGACGCTGCCTCGCGCTCCTGAAGATAATCAGCTAAGAGTAAGCGTATAGTCTGCGATGATGGAACAGATTTTTTTTTTTTATGTGAAAAATTACAAGTGTATAATAGCTTTAAATTAGAATTTCGGTCCACATTCTTTAAAAATGTGTACTAACTCTTAAAAACTGAATTTATCAGGCAATATCCCAAGATACAAGAAAAGCCAAATAAATGCCCAAAGTATTGAGGCCTCAGGAAGTAGCTAAGCGATGAGACTGGGGAAGCTGAGCCTACCGGCCTCCTTGAAGCTGTTATTTGATAACTACCATCTACAGCTGAATGACTTTGTCATATCTTTTCTCGTCACTCTCTGTTCAGTTTACATTAAGCATTTTTCTTTAAGGTGTTGAGAATGAACAAAACATGGGCTGTCCTGGTTTGGGATACCTGCTTCTGCCTGGATCTGGGATCTTCTCAAAGTCACAGTAAAATGTGGATAACGACATCTACTTCCCAGGGTCGCCGGGGAAGGACTGGATGAAACAGCGATGCAGAGACCACTGTCAGGTGCCTGGTACTCCACAGTGTAACTCGCTTCCTGTGGACGGGTGCAGCAGAATACTTCCAATACTCTGTGACTTATCATGACACCATCGGGCCTGTCCGAAGCACTGTTACCAGAAGACTTCGACTTCTCTTACTCTGCCTTTTTCTCTTTTAATGTCATATTCTATTTGAGTGCTAAGCATGCAAGTAGGTACCATGGAATGTAAACAAGTGAGGAGACAGAAATGTATTGTGAATAACATGTGAGACAACGCTGTGACTCACACGGATGAACTAGCTGCCTGGCTGCACAAAAGAATTCACATGAACACATTTGAAAAGAGGCTTAACATAGGAACAAGCTATTTTAATCAAGCAAAAACAAATTTATATTCATTATTTCTAAAAATAAAATTAGACTTTTTCCAACCCTTAACATCTGTATTTAATAATATCTTCTAACCAAAATACAGATGCTACAACAGCAAAGTACAATATATCTTGTACAGCATACAGTATGTTCACTGTTTACACTTACTTGAATTCTAGTTGGTCGTTATGTACTCAATGCATACTTAAACATCACTCATAATAAAGTTTTCACAATTAACAAAAAACGTGACAAGGCTGTCTTAAAACGGCTCTGCTATAAATTGTGTAGAATATACAGAATTACAAAGTCAAGTATTTTTTATCAAAATATACACCCCTCCCTGAAACTAACACAAGCTGTCAACATTTTAAACGAATAATACAATTATAGAAAATATTTGCAAAATTATTTTTTCATGTATAAATATTCTGCCATATTTACTTTGGTCTAGAATTATCAGCATACAAGTCCACTTAAAAAATATCCACATGGAAGGGCTGGGAGACATCACTACATGGAATAATCTCATATTTGGAGTTACCTCAAATCAAAATGACTAAAATACACAATTATTTTTCTCGATTCATAATCCTAATTGAGATAAAACAAATTAGTAGATCACCAGATTGCTTATTCAGTATTCTAATTATCAATTCAAAAGTGATTTTCATAAGCCCTTTGTGACTATCTCTTTAACAAAACCCGAATGAATAGTGCAGGTATACATATATACAATGTGTAAAATAAAGTTGAATTTGCTTGCATTTTCCCCTATTACATAATACTGTATGTAAGTGAATGTAGATGAACAAAATATAAATGCAGATACAATATTGGGGTTACTTAACAGCAAAGTACTATGGTATTAAAAGGTCAGCTTTGATCATGTCCTTTCCTGGGTGTGTAGATGCTTTCTTGCCCACCCAAATCCATATTAAGTCTTCTTCATGGAGACATCACATTTGGAGAGAGAAACTGGAGTCCTCTGAGCTACTTCTTCTTAATGGTAACCTTGCAACCTTGGGTAACCTTGGGTTTCCATCTATCAAATCCCATGAACACGAACAGCTGCAGGTCACCCTTGAACCGATTTCTGGATTCTGCTCATATCGGTGATCAAAGAATAGGAATGTTTTCTCTCTGCCTCCTACTGTGGCAGTTTGAAAAGTAAGAATTGTGAGTTCCAGCTTCCCAGGGCCTAGTCCAGATGATGGACTACCTATAGGGCAATTAGACTTTGAGGGCAATGTTGATGGTGTGGGTCAACATAAAAGAACATTAAAAAAGGGAAGTGGGTTTTTTAGCAAGGGGGCTAGATGTCTGCAAACATGAAGACAAGGCATCTGACTCTGTGGATCTGTTTCTGAGTCATATAAGTGATGGAACCTTATCATTCTATCTCCCTCCTCACCCCCAAACAAAGCTACTGCTTGAGGCAAGGAAGGTCCTCCCTTCCTGTTGCCCACTCAAGTCCTTCATGGTTGAGGCAGGGTGTGTGTTTCTGTTGCCTTTTTATACTAGTATATAGTTGTGGGCTGCACCATCTCTGAGAAAGCTAATCATTGTAGGGATTAGACTTTCTGTCCCTTTCAAGTGGCTGGGCACTCACTACAGTATGTGTGCCTTGCACTAAATTTCCTAGACACTCCTTCAGTGGACTGGGAGGTGTCAGGTTTTACTTGAACCCTGGAGACTGGTTAAGTCAGCCTGGAGCAGACCTCCACAATTATGGCCTTGTGATGGATGGAAGACTGCAGGGAGTTTGAGAAGAATCTGACCCTTCTTCATTTTCTGAGGTGAGGCCATTGCAAAGTAATACACAGCACAGGTAATCACAGGTAAATTCTGGGAAGGCTTTCCCCCATAGATAAGGCATGACCCATGTTTTCTGTGACTTGAATAGACCAGTTCTAGTAACAGCTCAGCCGTAACTTCGAGAGAACAGCATTCCATCCAGAAGCATACACATGCTCATAAGTCAAATTCAAAATGCTTCCTACTGATTTTTACACCAGTCCTCATTATTTGCAGATCTATTGCTCACCATTATAATTCTCTACTGGGGACATGGACAGTTAAAAGTTACAGTGATTTATATATGTATTTTACAAGGTTTGTGTTGCAGAGAAGTAGTTCTAATATATGAATGTCCTACTTAGGTTACTCATTTCACACATATTTTTAGCTATATTAGTAAGTATTTAATATGTACCCATTAAATTTAAACAATTTTCAATAGTGCAGAAGCTGAATGGGAATGACTGTCATAGCTCATTTACCTTTGAACTTACTTATGAAGATGACATTTTCATGATGTCTGACCCTATTTTCTCCAGTGACTAAAGACAGTTTAGCAGCCAGTTCCTATTTGCACTTACCGGAAAGTTTTAAATTAGGCTAAAATTAAACTTTTTTTTTTTTTTTTTCCACTGGCAGAAATACCACAGCTAAGAACTTCATAAACTTTCACAAGATACTTGGGATATTGGCGGAGTCAGCTATTTCATTTTTGCGCACTTTGCAAGACGTTAATGCTAAAACCCAAAGTAGATGTTGGGATCCTTTTTCTGGACTTTTCACAAATGAGATTTTCTTTTTTACAATTCACTCCTTCATGACAGTTATGTGAACAAAACTAAACTAAAAAACAAAAACAAAAAGAAAAGAGCTAACTAAAAAAACAAACCAACCCACCAACTTATATTTTTGAAGCTTTGCCCTAAGTATCAGCACTCAGAGGACATTTCCAACAATGGTCTGTATGTTATCCTTTTGGTCACTGTCTTCTGAATCCATGAAATGTGGGTTCTCCAGTGGGTCTGAGTTTTCGTGGTACACATCACCTTCAATTTTTTCCTGCTGACTTGGGCTTTTGAATAAGTGTTTCTTCTGGTGCATTCCGAGGGCGGCAGCCGTTTTGCAGATTTTGGGGCACTGGAAGCAGGCAAAGCCCTTCCCGTTGTGCTCCCGAATGTGCCTCTGCTCGTGATTCCTTTTTGTGGAGAGGTACAGAAAGCTCTGGAAGCAGAACTGGCAGTGGTAACGCTTTTCGCCAGTGTGGATCCTTTCGTGGATTTTCAGGGTCTCGTTCAGCGTGAAAGCCTTGTTGCAATACTGGCAGATGAACTCCTTGACGCCCAGGTGGATGCGCTCGTGTTTCTGCAGGTTTCCTTGCACCGAGAAGCACCGCCCGCAGGTCTTGCACTGGTAGGGCTTCTCCCCGGTGTGACACCTCATGTGCATCTTGAGGGTGGAGGGGCTCTGGAACTGCTTGGCGCACAGCTCGCAGGCGTAGGGCCTGGCGGTCAGATGCCGGTGGGGCCTTCCTAGGCTGCCGGCCCCCGACGCCTTGTCCCCGCCACAGAGTTCACACTGCAGCTTGGGCATCTCTTTATTTTCCTCTTCTTCAAGGGCCTTCTCCTGAGGAGACTTCCCCACGGCGCAGTCCAGTTCGGCCGGATATTTACACCTATTGCTTGGGCTCCTGCTTTCACGTTCCTTCTTCCAGGTGGCTTTCCTCATTTTTCTCAACTGTCTGGATTTCTTTTTGGGTTTGTAGTTGTAGTAAGGGCGCCATGGTTTGTCGGTGGAATCCTGGTCACTTGCGTCGTCGAACATTTCACTCATCTCCACACACTCGGATGGGCAAAGCCCAAGCGGGCTGTCCCCCCTGGTGTCCAGGTTGCTCTGCGGTGGCAAAGTCTCCTCCTGCGTTTCGTACTTGGGTTTTCTCCCTCTTTTATAGAACAATTTAGATCCGAGGATATGCCTTTTCACAATGGCTTCATTCCCGATTTTGACTGTTATTTGGCAAAGGGGCGCGACGTTGCTGTTTGTGGAGGTGCCGGGGAGAGCAGGCTTCGCAATGTAGGTCTCGATTTTACTGGTTTCTTTAATGACATTTGTCGTTTTGCTCAGTGACCCTCCAGGATCAGCAGCATATTTTGATTCCTCTGATGTCTCTCCCTTGTTACAGGGGATGCTTTTCTTTTTCTCCTTAATACTTTTGGGTCTGCTGACAACTCTCCCCACCTTGTCTGGCTCAGGCTTGCTGTCATCTTTCCTGGTCTGACTGGCAGCCGGGTCTGAAGGGGCTCTGTGGTTGTTGCTGGACATGGCAGCCACAGCGGTGCTGTGCATGATCACCGACGAAAACTGGCTGCTGTGCACAATGACCGAGGGCGCCGGGCCACTGTAGCTGATCACAGACGCTGAGTTCTCGCCGCCGTTACTCAAAGACACAGCAGGCACAGCCCCGGCCGGGGGCTCAGAACTGACAGCGTTTTCAGTGGAAGAAACCGACACCTCTGCTGAATAGAAGTTATTGTCAAGATCAACTTTCAGGGCCTCTTCTCCCCACTTGGTCCCCTCTGCCTTTTGGACACTGGCAGAAGTGGGTCTGTTCTGACCTGTGGCTGTTTCCAGTGGGACAGCTGGATTGTGGGTCACAGTGTGCACACTGTCCTGGAAATTCAGAGTAGGCAATTCAGAGCTGCGTGGATTCTGAATAACATAGGGACCAGCCGCAGGATCGCTCATCGGGTTGTTTTCTCGAGCATTCTCATAGGAAGAATTCCGGTAACTCTTATAAGGAGCCCTCTTGCATTTCATAGGCAGTAACCTATAGAGTTTATACGGATAGACGCTAGGTTTCAGGCCTCCATTTGCTGTTTTCTTACTGATGGAAAGTCTATGATCGATGGCATGGAAAGACTTCTGATGGTTTTTGAGTATATAGTAGGTCATGAAAGTTTCAAGGCAGAAAATGCACTGATACCGCCTTTCTCCTGTGTGCCAGATCTCATGTCTCGTCCTGTACTCGGCCAATGCAAACACTTTGTTGCAGTAATGGCAGGGATATGTTCTCCTCCACGAGTGGACATTTGCATGCCTGCGGAGGCTGGATAAAGTCACATAACTACGCTTGCAGACAGCGCAGCTGTAGAGCATTTGCCCATTAACAAATTTAACCAGGTGGTCCATTTCTGGCAAGGTGCTTGCGGCACTGGAAAACTCACCAATCCTATTTCCGGATAATAAAGATCCCGGACCTGTGAAGGAAGCTCCGTTCTGCCCAATGGTAGGATAGTGCTCTAAAAAGCGCTGACTTCCCCCTGGGCCGGGCATGTGGCTGGACCTCATACAGATCTGCTCGTGCCGATCCAGTCTGTTCAGGGTGCTGAATTCCTTGTTGCAGTACTTGCATACCAACGGCTCCTGGGTTGGCTTGTGCAGCTGCATGTGGGCACTGAGCAAAGTGCTACTGTCAAAGGACTTGGAGCAAGAGCTGCAGTTGTAAACGAGAGGTGGAACCTCAGCTGCGGGCGGCCCGGGGACGTCAGAGGATTCATTTCCATCTTCCCCAGGAAGACGGACATCCCCCTCATTGTTGGGAGATTTTGAACCGGAGAGGACCGCAGCTGGCTGCGGACTCCTTTCTTGGTTGACCTCCGCGTTGGTGACTGGAGGGGGGGGTGTCTTTTCTGTGGCTGGTTCAGAATCCTGGGGTATGGAGAGTGTCTTTGGCTTCCGGCATGTTTTCGGTTTTGCGGCAAGAGCCTCACCGTTTTCTTTGCCTGTTTTAGCAGGCGAGCTGCTGGGACGGTCACATGCAGGCTGGCTTCGGTACGCCTCGGCCACCGAGGAGACGGCATAGGAGTGCTCGGCCAGGGTCCGCACGGGCTCCGCCTCGTGGCAGACGTCCGTCCTCTCCAGGCAAAGGCTGGCGGTTCTCATGGAGTCGGAGACCTTTTTGAAACTCGCCCTCAAGTCCAGCGGAGAAAACATGTTATTACTATTTTCCGTTTCGATGATGGAAAAGGCGTTTGTGATCCTTGGCCCGTTAGTGATGGCTGGTTCTTCGTGCCGTTTTTCATTCTTTTCTTCTTTAACCATGCCTTTTTCAGTAATGCAGTACACATAGGGGCCCGGGGAGTTCGAGAAGTTGCGATCGGTCAGGTCTTCCAAGAAGGATATTCCCAGCTTTTTCCCTGCAGCTGCAAGATCGGTAACTGTTTCCTGTCTCTTGACGACGACCGTGGAGCTGTAGATGTAATTCAGGATTTCTGTAAACACTTCTGCTTTGAGATCATCCAGCTCCAGGACGTGGCTGGAAATACAGATTGTGTGGCTCCAGAAGATGTTTTTGAAATAAAGGCTTGAGGCAGCCAGGACATTGCTGTGGGCTTTAAATTTGGTGTCTTCCACAATGATGGTGACATCACATAAAATGCCCCGGATGCGCTGCTCATTTAAAATGGAGAGCACTGTGTCACTGTGAAAGTCGTCCTTGAGGTCCCTGGAAAGGGACATGACTGTCATCTGAAATAAGAGGAGAGAAGTGGTCAGAGACCCTTCCACAAGGAGCTTCTCTATCTCTAGATTATTTTCAGCCTCTTTGCGTGAAAATACAGGCTTTGATATCATTCTGCTGTTGCTTCCAAGGCTTGGAGTCAACATGAGACACTCAATCTTTATCTTGCCCTAGCCTGTTTCTCACACTGTTGCTACAAGTTATTATAGCTGGAAATCCTCTCAGAACTCTTTCTCCAAAGTGATAGCTATATACACATGTTCAAATTTGAGGAGGGTTCCCCACCCCAAATGGTAAGGGCCTCATCATCACTGCAGGCTGCTGCACTGAACTCCGAGAGATGGGCAACGCCACGGTCCTGCCATAAGCCTCTTACCTATTTTCAAAGATAGCCCTGATGATCTGATCCAAACGCAATTCATGAAGCAGGAAGGTGGTTTTTCAAAAGTTTTCCCTAAGTAAGCAGGACCTGTATGTAAAGGTGTTGCTCACTCAGAGAAGAAACAAGATCTGGAGGAGCTGTTCCTGATTTGGGGCTTCCAAGGGTCTCCCCGGGGAAGTCACAGTCTGCACGACCAGGTCTGACCACCAGGGGCACCCTGCCCCTCTGCGGGACCCATCCCAGTCCCTCTCTGACTCTCCTTTCGTTACAGCCAAAGCAGACCGGGGTTTTAAAAACAACTCTGTGAGGTACCGAAGACAAACAAAAAAAGGAAACCAGGAAAGTATGTTGCTGAGTCCACAATACTGAGTCTAATCACAGGTTTCTAAATGAGCACAATTTAAAGGCACAGTGGCTCTGCGTCTGAGGACTCTCCCTCTGTTTCTCCCAGGGGCTATTTCTCGTTGTTATCTGCATATGTTCTAGAATCGTCCTGGAATGGCCAGAGCCCGCCCTCCACTGCCCTTGTGAGGGGCAGTCTAAAGCAGCGGCTTTCGCACTTACCTACAATAAACACGTGGTGCATTAGGGACCTAAGACACAAATGAAATTAAAATTTGACCCTACCGTGTGTGACGCAATCTGTTCTATCAGCTTTCATTTAAAAAATGCTAACAGCAACTCGCTAAATTAATTTCACTGCATTTCAATACATCACCCCTGTGGTTAAAACAAAACAAAAACTCCCTCTGGTCTACAGGGCACACTAACCCGGTATTCATTCAGTCCCTCTATCCCCCGCTGAGTGACATCCAGCCAGCCCTATAGCTGGATGCTATTTCTTTAACTCCTGGTGGCACTGTCTTCCCAGCACTGGAGCAGAACATTTAGCTCCCAGCACCGGTTCAGTTGGAAAGGCCAGATGGCCACATAAAGAACCTCTTTTTACCTTTCTGCAGAGCTATTATAAGCTATGCCCATTATGTTACTTAGCATCTTTCATGTGAGGGTCCATGTGATAAATTCTTTGACCTCATTCAGCCATAAGAAAAAGTACACTTCTAACTAACGAATTCTTCAGTTCAGACAATGAGAACACTTCGACTCGCCCTGTTTCTCTTAATTCTTGAGACAAGTTAGAGCTAACTTTTACCATCACCACGGAGGCCATCGTGAGCCTGGGTTTCTGGTGTGGCTACTGTCTCACTGTCTGTATTTAACGTTAGTTCTATTTTTAAAAAAATATATCTTGAGAGATATATTTATATATAAAAATATATATTCAGAGAGAGGAAGGGAGAGGGGAGAGAGAGAGAAACCTCAATGATGAGAGAGGCACTGATCGGCTGCAGCCCACAACCCGGGCATGTGCCCTGACCGGGAATTGAACCCTGATCTCCTGGATCCTAGGTCGACACTCAACCGCTGAGCCACGCCCGGCTGGGCACGTTAGTTCTTCTAGAAAGACAGCTGCCTTTAAGACAGCTGTTTACCCTGCCTTTACCTGTAATCTTCCACGAATCTTTTCTAGAACTCTGGGGGGAGGGGGGGTTAATCTATAAATAAAAATGAAATAAAATGAAGTAAAATCTTAATGGCTTCCTCTATGCCCCTGAAGGGAGGGGGGTCACCCCTGAACAGATCAGAGGAGTGTGTCCTTCACTAGGTTGTAAATCAATGACAAACTCTGCCAGGGTTTCTTTTGCCTTCCTTGAGGTCTCTCTGTTCTGAGCCCCTGAAGGATCTACCTTCTCTCCCGACTCATGTTCTGATCCAGTTTGGTTTCTGTAAGGCCCGTATGTTATATACATTATTTCAATTCTCTGCCCAGCCTGACTGATAGTCTCAGATCTGGCAAAACACATGCCACGTGATTAAAAAAGCTGGCTTCCCTCTTGGCTTAGTTCTAGGCTGATGGCATCTACTTTGTCCTTTCACCTAAAAATCACTGCTTGTTCCAAAATACCCCACTTCACAGCACTCTGAACCTCCCACGAGGCTCTACCTCCATTTGGGGACTACAGTATTTCACATCAAGCTAATATAAATTCTCCAGGGTGTCAGATTATAAGCCCCACTCACTTCTGTGGGGTTCTCTGATTCTTTCCTTAGATTGCTCAGTTAGAATGGTTAGCAAAAGGCAAACTGTTAACACTGAGTAAGATCTTAGTCTCATTTATAGTTAGAATAACATATAGTAACTAAGTACTGAGAGTTCACTGATACAGTTTCAGATTCCAGGTTACAAATAACCTTTAAGGAACTTCCACTTACCAAGTTTTAGTGTGGTATCAACGAATATCCACAAGTAACTGAAAAGGCTATTAAAAAACTCCTTCCTTTTCCAACTACCTATTTGTGTATGGCTGGATTTTCTTTACATACTTCAATTAAAATAACGTATTATGAATGAATTCAGCAGCAGATATGAAAATCCAGCTGTCTTTCTAGTAAGCCAGACATGAAGGATATTTGCAAAAATGTACAATACCACATTTCCCCCGTGTATTTTCTGCTTTAGAAAGTTATTTTTAAAAATAAAATGTTATTTTATCATGCAACTGGGTTTTATCATAGTAATTTTTCATAAGTTAATAGGTTTTTAATTCTCATTTTAAATTTTGAATATGATAAATACTGACAGCTATAACTCGGATAAACAAAAGCTTTTGGGGTCCTCAATGATTTATAAGCCTGTCAGGGGTTTCTGGCACCAAAAAGTTTGAGAATTGCTACTGTAGCCTATACAAAAATGTTCAAAATAATTTTTAAAGAAATTATTTAAAAATTATTTTACTCAATAAAAGAAATTATATATAAGCCTAAAAGAACTAAAGACAAAGTAAATGAAAGTGTGGCAAAATATAAGGCAGAGATCTCCAGGAGACAGGATAGACCAAGGGACAGAGAAACACAGATAGACACACACTCCAATTTTCCAGGTTAAGTCCTCACTTACTCCCCAGAGCTCTCTCCAGCAAACTTACTCCCCAGACTCTCCAGAGCTCTCTCCAGCAAACACTGGAGGCCTTTTCAGAATAGGAGGGAACACAAGGGCCACCAACCAAACTAGAATCTCCTGCCCCTTCATGCTGCTCTCCTGACCCCCACCATCTCACTCCCCGTAAAAGCACAAGTCTGGCCCTGACCACTCTGACCTTCCCACCTGCTACTTCTCTCTGCCTCCTCTCCTGGCCTCCTTGCTGTTTCTTGAAGAAGCTGGGCATGCCCCACCTCAGGACCTTTGCACATGCTGTTCCTTTGTCTCGAATGCATGTTCTTACTAGATACCTACAGGGCTCCCTCACCTGCTCTGCATTATCAAGCATCACCTTCATGGTGAGGCCCACCATGACGACCTTATTTTAAATTGCAACTCCTCACCCCAGCACTTACTCCCCAGTTGTCGATAGGTTCTTGAAGACTGCAACTTTAAGCAAAATGATGTATAAGGAAACCAATTTTACCCTAGGCTAACTGATATAAACAAGAGCTAAGTTCCTACGGCATATTTCTGGTCACAAAAACATTACCAAATTTCTAAATAAAAACCCAAAACATTTTTAGTATTAATCATTAAAATAAATGTGAGCTATACATACATTTTAAAAAGGTTTAGAAAAACAACTAAGATCATTCTTGTCCAACCCACTCATTTCAGTCCAGGGTGGTGGGTGGCCAGAGCCTTTCCTGGCAGCTCAGGGCACAAGGTGGGACCCAACACTGGACAGGATGTCCTTCCACGGCAGGGCGCTCTCACACCCACACCCACCCACATCCAGACGGGGACAATGCAGACACACCACTTCACCTCACGTGCACATCTTTGGAATGAGGGAGGAAACCAGAGTGCCCAGAGAAAGCCCATGCTGACATGGGGACAGTGTGTAAGCTGCAGACAGTGGCCCCGGCCGGGAATCGGATTGTTTTCTCGTCACTGTTATAATGAAACCTTATTCGAGGACTTGCTGCACTTGAATTTGAGCATGGCTGAGAAGCCAGGTGGGCCGACAGTCCTTTCCACACTGCACTTGGGGGAAGACTGTCCCTTGGTTTGCAGGCCGCTGCCCCTTTTCTGTCACTGCTTGCACCCTCGCCTTCCGAGTCTCAAAGGTTAGCGTGATCACAGCTTTGTTGGCCTATATGATTTTATCCATTCATCAACTAAATTAGCCTCCTCCCCACAATATCCTGGATACTGCTTTTAGTATTCTGGGGTTGAACTTGGAAACAAAAGAAACAAAGGTTGTGGGTTCGATTCCTGGTCAGGGCACATACCTAGGTTGCAGGTTTGATCCGTGGTTGGGGCGCGTACGGGAGGCAACTGATCGATGCTTCTCTTGCATCGATGCTTTTCTCTGTCTCTCTCCTGTCCTCTCTCCCCAGAATCAATTTTTAAAAAAACATATCCTCGGGTGAAGATTAAAAAAAAGAGGAAACAAATTTTTGGCAATGATCTAACTAATTCCCAGTATTTCCAGCTTAATTAAATCTTCCCTCCCCTAATTAGTCAAGGCAACTTTATTAAATACACAGATGTCAAAAAAATTAAAACGATAGTTTCCATATACATTCTAATTCTTACAATGCAAAAAAACCCCAAAAAACAACCTTGAAAAATCTCTT